ATGTCCTTAAGCATGTAGGAGAGTCCTCTTGCCTCAGCCTTCCAAGTGCTGGAATTATAGGTGTGAACCACTGCATCTAGCTTCCATTTCTACTTTTTTTTAAAAAACTTTTTCTTCAGAATCACTTTTTTTCTAAACATTTTTCTTTTTGTCTCCTATGTATAGAGTTAGGAAATCAATAGGAAAATAACCATTTTCTTTCAAGTTATTTGATATGTATGTAGCCTGGTGTGGTAGTGCACACCTTTAGTCCCAGCACTTGGGAGGTAGAGGCAGGTGGATCTCTAGGCCAGCTGGGGTTACAGGGAGACCCTATCTCAAAAAGAAAAGTTATTTAGCTGGGAGTGGTGGCACACGCCTTTAATTCCAGCTGGATTAAATCCACAGCGGATCCTCTGTGAGTTCGAGAAAAGTTATTTGACGTGAATACAGCATGGTTGTGTAAAGCAGCAACTTTGTTTTGAACAGATTAAAGAATGTGCTGATGAACCAGTTGGAAAAGGTTACATGGTTTCCTGCTTGGTGGATCACCGAGGCAATATCACTGAATATCAGTGTCACCAATACATCACCAAAATGACAGCTATCATTTTCAGTGATTATCGTTTAATCTGTGGCTTCATGGATGACTGCAAAAATGACATCAACATTCTGAAATGTGGCAGCATTCGCCTTGGTGAAAAGGTATTTACTACCTTGGCTTCTTGAGTGAACCTGTCAACTTGGTAAATGAAAACTCATATGGGAACAAACTGGGATTTGAGGGCATTTCAAAGTTAAAATTAAAAGAAACTTTTTGCAGCTCCCCCTAAGATCTTAAGACTAATTGATTTAGGAATGCATTTTGTGGGTTTATAACAAAATATGTGAATATTTACTTTAGTTATATTTTGTGTTGCTTTGAGAAATACCTGACAAGCAACTGGGCTTCCAGTTTAAGAACAGACACAGCCTGTCAAGGGGGGAAGGCATGGTGGTAGGAGCGTGAGGCTGCTGGTTCTATCTCAGACACAGTAAGGAAGCAGAAGGAGATGATGGCTGTTCCTCTTCCTTTCTTCTTTTTGTCAGTCCAGGGCCTTAGATTTCCTTTGAATGATGCCGCCCACATTCAGATTAAGTCTTCCTGTCTCAGTTCAACTCTGGAAGCATCCTCACAGACAACACGCAGAGGTTAATCTCCTAAATGATTCTAAAACCCATCACATTAGCAGTCAAGATTAGTCATTACAGCATTGTTATCTGGAAGCACAGAAATTAATATCTGCTCAGGGTAATGTTATCTTCAAAATCACCTGTAAGCTGCTTCTAGCAGAGATACCTGAGTTCTCTAATCTTCCCCTTCATATGTATCGCTGTTAACTATAAAAAGTTATTTAGCAAGTTATTTCCGTCTGTAAAATAAGGTATTAAAGTATTAAATATTTAAAAACTTGAAGATATGTAAAGAAGATACGTAAAGCTACTTCTGGCTTGTCAGACGAAAAATGTGTGAGCTGGTTAGCTGAAGAATTGATTATACTAAAGATAGAACAAAAATAACTACCTAATTTCTTCTTTATTAGTTATAACTGATCTTATGTTTGAAATTATTAGTCTGTTGAACAGGTTACAGGTGGAAGTTTGTTTCTGAACTTGTTCAGCAAAAATGAAGGAAATATATATATGTCTTTTTGAGACAGGGTCTCCCTGTAGCCCCAGCTGTCTTGGAACTCACTATGTAGACCAGGCTGGCCTCGAACTCACAGAGATCCGCCTGCCTCTGCCTCCCAAGTACTGGAAGGAAATTCTTGAAAAGTAATGAATTGCAGTGGGAGAGGCACTCAAGAATCCCGTGGCATTAGTTGCTGCTGCTCATTAATCTGTTGTTTGGGTCGTAAGGTGGAAATTCAAACCTGTTGTTTCCTTGTCCTCTTTATTCATGGTTTGCAGACATCTTTGACAAATGGGGCATAGTGTTAGGACCCTGTCACTGAGCACGCACTGAGATGAAGAGCTTAGTGCTAGGTATTGTCTAGTTGTCCCCAAACCCAGGTGCTTCTTGACATCAGCACAGGCTTCTTTTCATAGGTGTCTTCAGTCAAGACTTAAAAGCTCTGTAATCTTGGCATACTAAAGAAAGGCCAGTTTGGGGCCTGTTAGGTTGTAAGAAATAAATGTAAAGCCAGGTGTGGTGGCACACGCCTTTAGTCCCAGCACTTGGGAGGCAGAGGCAGGCGGAGGATCTCTGTGAGTTCGAGGCCAGCCTGGCCTACATAGTGAGTTCCAGGTCAGCTGGGGCTATGGGGAGACCCTGTCTCAAAAAGACCAAAAAAAAGGCCAGTTTTAATAAAGAATGCAATTTTTATTTCTTTCTTAACAGACCCAAGAAATGGCAGAAAAGCACTTAAGTCACCCTGATAATTGCAGAAAGCTCCTCTGACTTTATTTGGGGCATTAGAGGTCTGATTCTAAATCTCACTTTAATTTTTAATTTTATCTTTTATTTTACGTGTATGAGTGTTAGGCCTGCATGTAGGTAAGTGCACCCATGTTGTGCAATGCCTGCAGAGGACAGAAAAAGTTGTCAGATCCCCTGGAACTGGAGTTATGGACAGTTGTTAGCTGCCATATGGGTGCTGGGATTCCAACCTGGGTCTTTTGCAAGAACAGTATTCTTAACCGCTGAACCAGCTCTCTAGCCCCGTAAATCTCACTTTAAAGAAAATGATGTTTGTTTTGTATGAGTGTTTTCTCCTGTGTATATAATTGTACCACATGCATGTAGTGCCTGCAGAGGTCAGAAGAAGGCATTTGATTCCCGGGAACTGGAGTTAAGGACAAAGTTGATAGCTACCATGTGGGTATTGGGAACCAAACCTGGGTCCTCTGGAGGAATGGCACCTGCTCTTAACTGCTGAGCCAGCTCTCTAGCCCCTAAACCTCACTCTTAAAATAAATCTCCACGTCGGGGTTCCTGACAGACCTTTTTAGGAATCTGCAGTGGTCCAATTTTACATTGCCATTAGGGTCATACTGAAGAGTAGAGCATTACAGTTTCCCTTTATGGTAATTCTTGTCTATTGACTATAAGGGCAGTAGCTGATTCACTTCCGCGGTTCTCTGAATTACCCATGTAAAACCCGTATTCAGTTGCATGTTTCTAAGTACATGGTGGTACTGCACGTATTAACTGCTGGAGCTGCAGGCAACAAGATTGTCTATCCAATTCTTATAGAATAGCAAAGGATGTTTCCACGAACCTTCATTGAGCACTTCTTTTTATCTTTTTTGTTTGCTTGCTTGTTTGTTTTGAGACAAGGTATGTAGCCACACTGCCTCCCAAATGCTGGCATTATAGATTTCAAATGTGTTCCAACATATTCAATTCATTTTTATTTAAAATTTTTTTGAATTTATTCATTTTTTTATGTGTGTGAATGCTTGCCTGCATGTATATTTACAACATGCATGCATGCCTGAAGAGACTAGAAGAGAGTGTCGGATCCCTGGAGTTGGAGATTAGCTGCCATGTGGGTGTTGGGAACGAACCCAGATCTTCTTCAATAGCAGCCAGTGCTCTTAACTGCTGAGCCATCTTTCTAGCCACTCATTTTTATCTTTTGATATAACTACCAGTTAGGTCAAATTACTAATTGTACAGATTTTCTTAAGGGACAGTGGACTCTGCTTACATTTGTGCCTCATAGAAAGAGCATGTTCCTTTCTATACATTTCCCTTTGGGGCCGCAGTCATGTTTAAAAATGAGAGTGAGCTGGACATGGTGGCACATGCCTTTAATCCCGTCACTCAGGAGGCAGAGGCAGGTAGATGTCTGAGATGGAGGCCAGCCTGGTCTACATAATGAGTTTTAGACCATCTGAGACTACAGGCTGACCTTCTCAAAAAGACAAAATAAATAAATAAAAAAATAAAAAAGTACTACCCTTCAAATTTCTAAACTCTGATCAAGACACTGACAGTTTTTTGTTTTTTCAGGCAGACTTTTTCTTACCAGAATAGAATTAATTAAAATTTATTGGACTAGTAGGGTAGCTAAGTGGATAAAGGCACTTGCAGCCTGATTACCTGTGTTTGATCCCCTAGACCTACATGGTGGAAGTGGAGAACCTGATTCCTACAAGTTATCCTTTAACCTCCACACAAGTGCCATGGCACACATTACCATACCTCGCAATAAATAATAAATAAATAAATAAATAAATAAATAAATAAATATCTTACAGTCTATTGAGGACTAAAGTGGAGTTCACTGGTAGAACCCTTGCTTAGCACGCACAAGGCCTGGGTTTAATCACCACTATTCACATATACATATGTTTTTAAAAAAATCTTTATGGTGGCACACACCTTTAATCCCAGCACTAGGGAGGCAGAGGCAGGCTTATCTCTGTGAGTTCAAGGCCAGCCTGGTCTACATAGTGAGTTCCAGGATAGTTGGGGCTACAGGGAGACCCTGTCTCAAAAAAAAAAAAAAAAATCCTTAAGTCCATTTATAGGGTCATATATATAAATAGCGCTAAATAGTCTCTTTTGTCTGTGTCTGTGAGATGTGCATGCATGAGTGTATGCATGTTTGTGTGTATGCACATGTCTTCCTTGTTTCTCTACTTTAAAGCAGGGTCTTTTACTTGAACCCAGAGTTCATTGATTTGTCTGTAGTCTAGCAAGCCAGCTTGCTCCAGGGTTTCCTCCTCTGCCCCTGAAGTGCTGGGGTTACAGGTGGGCTACTATGCACACCTGGCATTTACGTTAGGTTCTGGAGATCCCTACTCTGGTCCTAACCATTGTACAGCAAGCGTTTCACCCCCTAAGCCATCTCTCAGTCTTCTTTTGACAGGGTCTTCTGTAGCTCAGTCTTACATGGAACTTGCTGAATAGCCAAGAATACCCTTGAACTCTTGATTTTCTTAGTTCCATTTCTCTTTCTGAGTGTTAGAATTAATAGGTGTGTGTCACTTTATTTAATTTTTGCAGTGCTAAATTGAACCCAGGGCCTCATGTATGCTAGACAGAGCATGTTAAACAGCAGTTGTGTCAGTTCCTCAGTTTGCCCTATTTCTCTTCTCTCCCTTCTCCCCTCCCCCCTTCCCTTCTCTTCGTCTCTTCTTAACTTTTTTTTTGGCAGTGCTGGGGATTAAATCCATGAGCTGTTATGTTAGGCAAGTACTCTACCAGTGAGCTACATCCCCAGCCCTAGACATACAATCTTCAATGTCAAATATTTGTATATATTTCAGTTAATTAAACAGGCAGAACCAAGTAGCTCAGTAACTCCAGTGAACTCTGGAAATACCATTGTTTGAAAAAATATCTGCCAGGCATGGTGGCGCACACCTTTAATCCTAGCTCTCAGGAGGCAGAGGCAGGCGGATCTCTGAGTTCAAGGCCAGCCTGGTCTACATAGTGAGTTCCAGACCAGCTGGGGCTACTGGGAGACCCTGTCTCACCCCACCCCACCCCACCCCCCAAAAAATCTGAGCATTGTGATGTATGCCTATAATCCAGGTAATTCCAGTATTTGGGAGGTAGAGGCAGGAAGATCAGGAATTCAAAGCCATCCTTGGCTATGTAGTAAGTTACAGACCAACCTGGGCTACATGATTCCATCTCATACAATGAAAAAAGAAAGAAACAATAAAAGCAACAATATTTGTAAGTTTAGTATCTGAGCCTTAGGAAAAGT